ATTTTTAAGAGTTTGCAGTTTTGGTGGGAGTTTGTCTTGTGCCAAGCATCACTCTTTGAATGAAGTTGAAAGTGTTTTTCATGGCTTTAGGGTATTCAGTCCAAGTGTAAAGAAAATGACAACCCAAACAAGAGGCAAAGTGCTTGAGGTAGGTTCAGGAGATCATCCATTACAATACCTTCCTCAACAATGATGGAAGTAGACACTGGTTCAAGGTGGAGTTGATTTGGAGAGAGGGACATCTTCACTGATGTTCGCCAGCACCCCAAAAGATACTTGTGACCAGGCATCATCCCTGTCAGAATCCTGTGTAAGACCAAACGGAAACAACATTACAACAAGGAACTATAAATTGTCACTGTGTCATATGTCCTGTCTACGCTGCCTTCCAGCCTTGCCCATCACGTTTTCCTTTCACAGACGTGCATTTAATAGTTGTATCCACATCAGTGGGCCTAAAACAGTTTTGACCAGTTTACAGATGTCCAGTAAAGAAGATGAAAGAAATTAAGTATTGAAGTCTTCCTCACACTAAATTTTCTTTGCCATCCTCGTTAGATTGTAGTAGCTAGTGTATTCGAGGGAGAGATATGATCTACCTCTTGTGCATTATACACAACCGGAGATGGCAAGCAGGCTTAGCACCGTTGAGCTGAGCTGAGCAGTGCAACCCGGTGACATGGACTGCGAACGGAGTTAGTTCAATATATGGCTGCTTCACCTTATGGGTGAGGCTACCAGCCTAGCTCATGTGAAGCCAGGAAAATACACCTTTATCCATATGCATTAAAAAAATTGTAACAATTTTTTGGGGGGCATTTCTGCATTATTCGACAGTAACAGTAGAGAGACAGAAAAGGCAGGGATGAGAGAGGCGATGACATGCAGCGAAGGCCTCCGTCCAAATCAACTTCCGGCCGCTGTGGTTGGGACTCAGCCTTGCTGTGATACGCCTTGAGGCATTATGTTTATCTCAGGATCACCTTGAGGGAATTTCTTCAAATTTGGAACAAAGGCCCACTTGGACTCAAGGTCGAAATTTGGTGGTCAAAGACGGTGACCTCACAAAACACGTTTCTGGCCATAACTCAAGAATTCATATGCTAATTATGACAATTTCACACAAATGTCTAGGATAAGATGTAACTATGAGAACTTACAAAGCTGGTGTGGTAGAAGTGACTCGGGTCATCACCAAGTAGAACAGGGAGGCCTCTGAGTACGAGGGTGCACATTGCTGTCACATCTGGTTTCTAGAAGTGGATAATTAACAAAAAAAGTTCAAGATTATGTAACATTCAAATCTGACCGTACAAATATGTTTGTCAATGTGACAATGAAACAAGTGTCACCAGAATGTTTGTTTGACAGTACGGACTCACCCGTGAATCAATTTACTGCACAAACTCAGCAAATGTCTCTCCAACACTTCCGTTCTTGGACTTGAAGATTGTGACAAAGTGTGGTGTTGTGTAGTGGTCCACAGCATCAGAAAAGTCATTCTGCAGGTTTGTGGTGGCTCCAGTTAAACTCTGCAAACACCTAGAGCACACAGAAAAAAACCATACAGTGACTAAATCGGCTTGGACCAATGTGGACATTTTTGAAAACCATTCTGCAAACAAAAACACCATCACAACTGTTGACATCACTGCAATTGCCAAATTTAATCAATAGCATACTGCTATTTAGTCACCAGGCTGAGTGACAGGACAAAGTATTGATTGAAAATTGATTTTGATTTAACTTTTGCTACAGCGAGCTAGTCTATTAATTCGAATATAATTGGAGCATTAACAATTTGTCAAAAACTGCTCTACCGCTGATTATAACTCCTTAAGCCTAAATATCCTCCAAATTATAGGCTACTGGCATCTCACCTTCAGTGAACCGGCATCCTGTGTTGACGAAGCAGCTCTTCAAGAGCCCTCAGGCAGTTACCGTGAGCACTTATTCTGAAAAGGACAAAGAATGTTTAAGTTAAAAGGAAGTTATATGTTGTTATTTAGAGACAAATCCCTTGATAAATGCATGCTTTACCGGCATCACAGGAAAATACTTGTTTTTTTGTATATATATATCACATATATACACCATACACAGCCACAACAGCCTGGCACCTCCTCCTCATGCTGGTCACACACTGCTGTGGGATGGCATTCCACTCCTCAAGCAGGATTTGTCGCAAGTCAGCCAACGTGGTTGTGTTGGTCACTCTGGCACGAGCAGCACGCAAGATTCTGCAACCAGTGGCAATCCCATTTCTCTAGTCTGGGACCGAACTCCATCCTCCAAGATGACAACGCTCGCCCCCACAGAGCGGGGTTCATCAGAGACTACTTCCAGAATGTGGGAGTAGAGAGGATGGAATGGCCTGCCAACAGCCCTGGCCTCAACCCAATTAAACACTTGTGGGATCAGCTGTTCGTGCCAGAGTGACCAACACAACCACATTGGCTGACTTGCGACAAATACTGCTTGAGGAGTGGAATGCCATCCCAAGAACAGAGAAGGCAGTGAAGATTTGGCAAATTTTTCATGGGCACAACCCACATACTCAGCTCTGCTGCTCATCACAGAAATGCATGTTCCTGACAAATGGGGCACCGTTTAAAAGGTAAATAAACAGGCTTTCCAACGGTATAAAATGTATTGCCAAGAAGCATTGTTACAACATAGAAATAATCTACCAAACACTAATTTCCAAACTTTTTGTTCGACGTTTATGTTTTCACTGTAAGGCCAAAAAGGCCTTGCCCTGCTGATTGCAGTGATCACTGGTCTTGCATGAAATAAGTACAATCCTGTACATTTTGGATTCCAATTCAGTTTATATTCAATGCAATGCCGTCTAGTGAATCCAAATGTATAAGCTTCTCTCAAAAATAGGCCATAAAGAAGTTTAATGCTTTCGGTTCACGGAAGTTTCCTCAAACACTATCATATATTATTCTATTGATACTAAAGCAGTGAAGTCACTGAAACACCTTTAAAAAAAGTCTGCTGTCTGAATGAAGACACTTTGAGCAATGTTACAAAGGTCTTTCTAAACCTAACTGTGGTTTTGTTGCCCAAACATAACATTCGTGACGGTTATGTTCGTTTTGATATCTATGATGAATTTTCCAAAACCTAACTAAGTTGTTTCGTTGCCTAAACCTAACTTTACTTATGTAGGCTAAAGCAATTTGGCTCTGGAAAAAAACATGTTTTTTAATATATTGCATTTCGTGACTAACTTACGAACTGCCGCAAGACTGTGTTGAATATAAAGCATAGTAAAATACCATACAAAGCAATTATACAGGTAAGTCTGTTACAGACAGGTGAATGAGTGATATCGAGTACCGGTCAAACTGTGCGAATATAAATGTCATCACGTTCACCCCGAGGAGAGACGGTAACATGTTGCCAGTTCCATTTCTGGGTGGATGTCTCTCGCTGACATCGAACAGACCGAGATAATACACCGAAACCCAGA